TTTAATGGGATTTCGTTATTTATTAGGAAAGCTTTTTCTTTTCTGTAATTTCAGATATGTTGTATTTTTCTTTCCTTTTTTTTGGATAATCTGGGGACCTTTTTTTTTTTGGATAAAATGGGGATGATTATATCAAGTATAGGTCGTTGTAAGTTTGTACCTTCACATCACATGCTACGCTGATGGGCTTTTGTTATTTCTTTGTGATAATTTTATAAATGTGTGTACTTTTTTCTTCTTTTTTCTTAATATTTTGACGATTTGGGTGATGACATTTTGTTTATGTATGTTTATTTACTTTGTGGGTAAATTTTTGGGTGGTTTTTGATTTTTATCATATTTTGTTTGATGATTTGGGTGCCGATATCTTTTTAGGTGATTGGAATAGTACCTTCATTGGATGATGATCCATGGAAGAGTAGGGGGTTTTATTTAAGAGTATCGGATTCAGTGCACTCAGCCTATTTATCTGTCTTAGATGAAGATGTAGAGTTGATATTGAGTGACAAGATTCAACTGGGTCAATTCATCCATGTGACCAGACTTGACTCTGGCTCCCCTGTTCCAGTGCTTTGCGGCTTAAAACCGGTGCCAAAAAGGCGTCCTTGCATAGGGGAGCCAAAGGATTTGATTTCGAGCGATGTTTTGACAGTTAGGAAAAATGTGGACTCAAAAAGGGTGAAAAAGAAGGTGGGGCTTGATAAGAAATCCTTGGCAAAGGAGAATCTAAAGGGGAAACTGAATGGAGTTTTGGATAATGAAGGTGTGAAATCAAGAAGGCTTTCATTGAGCTATGGGAATGTTGGTGGGCTGGAGGTTAGAAGGTTGAGCTTGGATTCGATCAGGAAAGGATGGGATCGGAGCCCTGGGGGTAATGGTAGTGTTGTATCAGTATCAAAGTCAAAGTTCAAAGAGGGTTCTTTGGGTATGGATTCTTCAAGGAGCCCTGCAGGTAATAATGGTGTTGCATCGGTGTCAAAGCTGAAACCCAAAAACGTTTCTTTGGTTTCAGATTCTGTAAATAGCACTGCATGTAATAGGGGCGTTACATCAGTTTCAAAGTCAAAATCCAAAGATGGCTCGGAATCTGTGAGTTATACCTCTAAATGAGAATTACTTGTATTAGTGGTTATATGCTATTACTGTTGTCTTGTGTCTGTTCTACTTTGCTGCTTCTGTTTTGTCTCCCCTCCTACTGCCTCGTCCCTTAACATGTGTAATTGGCGTTTATGAATCCAGAAGGTCTTTGTTCTACAAAATTATTGTCAAATATTGAGGATCCTATCGATTTGCCATTTTTTGATACTCTGCTAATTGAGTTGGGAGGTCATTGGTTGGATAATTCCCTGCTTTGAGGCTAATGTAGGTTGCTCTATCCCTTCTCCGTTCTAATTGTTGTTGGTTCCTTGGATGGAGTTTGACTGTGTAAACAATGTGGGCCTGTATAGAGTAGGAAATGCATGGCAGAGTATAGCTATTTCCCGTAGTATCTAAAATTGGCAGTTAATCTTCCCAAAATACTTGTATTAAATTTCCACCTCTGTTTTAGTCGAACTTATTATGTCCATTAGAAACAGTATTATGCTATAAACTGCAATTGATAGGCTGGAGGCTATGGAGACTACTGCCTAGAGGAGAAATATCTATGCAAAGTCTAAGATGATCCATCTTTTTTCATCCATAATCTGCCATTAATAGATAAAACAGTGAAACGTCTTTTTCTCTGGATGGTAATGCTATTGATCTTATACACTCGGGCCAAATCCTTTTGGATGACTCTTGTACTTTAGTAGGAGCAGAGTATTAGTGGTACTGTTGCTTCAGATGAGATATGGCAAAGTTAACGGTTGAATTCCAATATTCCTAAGGAGCGGTGAGCAACATAAAATTTATTCCGGTCAGGAGGAAAAGTATATATGCATGTCCTCTTTGATTTTGGGTTACACCCACTCACGAATATCCTGGGTGACTCACTATTGTACACCTATTGGTTATCTATCCTTAAAGGACAAGTGATAGATTCAGTTTCCCTGCGAAAATATGCAGACCTCAGATGTATCAAATATGCAGACCTCGGATGTATCTGTTTATTCTGTTACTGGTTTTAATTTGTAGTTCTGCAAGACAGAGGCAAAGCAAAGTTTTAGTTACTATCTGGAACCAATCTCTAAATAAAGTAATGGCGAACAAATGCTACATGTTTAACCACTGTGCCTGAGATAATTTTTGAATTTTCCTAAATCTTTATTGTCCCATGGTAGGTTCTTCCTGGCAAGAAAAGTTCTTCTGAGGATTCCACATCAAAAAATTCAAGCATTTCACCTCTTAAATCCAAAAATGGGACAGTGTCACCAAAACTTATAACCAAACCTACTAGGAAAGATCTGAAGTCTTCAAACAATGAAACTCTACCAGCTCAACTTAAGAAGGTGGATCTCCGTTTTGGAAATTGGTCTGACTCAAAGATCTCAAGCAAGTCAGTTCCTCTGACCATCCATAATCTTGGAAAGGTATGCATATTGATGAACATATAGGCTTTGAACTGTATACCATGGAAGCTTGTTATACTCAATGCATTCATGATGTGTTCAGGAGGTAAGAATTTATAGGAACATTTCCTTCCTGTCTGCTGCACATGCCATGGAAGATGCAGCCGCTGCGGATGGTGTCATTCGCTGCATGAGGTACTAGTATTTGTTATAGCTGTTTCTCTAACTGTAGCTGCGGATGGTCTCATTCACTGCATGAGGTACTAATATTTGTTATAGCTGTCTGCTGCAATGCATCTGTTAGTGTTATTATTTGCTATTACTAGAAATTTGACCTTCTAATTTGCAAATGCCTGATTAATGCAGGAGTGTCTATTTTATATCATCTTCATATGTCGGCACAAAATTATCTCTCTCGTTCACTGAAGAAAAAGAGAAAAGGCACATAAGTTCTCACTTACAACTGAAAAGGAACTTTGTCTTGCAGATGCAAGAGTATTTGGTCTTCTTCTATGCTTATGATTCCTTCGTTGTTTTGTATTACTTCCTCCATGTTAGATTGAAAGTCCATGTTAAACTTGGCACAATTTTTAACTAAGGATTGGAGTTTCTTGCTTCAATCCTAACTAAGCATTCATGTCCTCAAGCTGCTCTGCAAATTTCTTCTTGTATGAATATTAGTTGGTCCAATGTGGGCATCCATTCAGTTGAAAGCAATATATAAATTGTAACTAATTTTTCAAATCACCGGATATTTAGATTGAATTGAAATTCCATTGTATGCTGCACCAAAGTGTGAAGAACTGGCTTAATATTGGGATGTGTCAACAAATCCAAATAGATCATCAGTCTTTCATAAAAACCATATGTTGCTGTGTGGAATGAGTAGGATATAAAAGGTGGCTTTGATTTTCTTATCCTATGATTTGGTGAAGTGTTTCGTGCAAAACAAGAAACCTTGGCTTCAAGTAGCTGGAATTCCTGGGTTATCCTGTTCATCATTTCAGCTAATTGAAATGTTCTCAAGTTGAGCTCAGCATATATGTTCTTCTCAAATTTTAGCTGCATAACAGTTTTCTTAGGACTCTTAAGAGCTTTTTGATACCTTTTAACGTGATTGATGCAAGATATCTTTTCTCTCGATTTTTGTTAAGTTTAATTTTGTCTAGTGAAGATCATTTTCCATGTTTCCTTTTTTTGGCAGCATGTTTGCACAACTGTGCGAGTCATCTGAAAAAGATTCTGCTGGACAATTGGTGGAGCAATTTTTGCACCTTCAGGGGAATATGCAGAATGCAGCAGCCATGATTGAGGCATTGGTTGAAACCAGGACTCTTGAGGCCAAAAGCAGCAATTCTTGCAGCAGTCAGCCCCCATCACCAGAAATGTGCTCTAAATTTGCAAGCAAGAATGCCTTATCATGGGTACAAGCTGCAGTTGAGACTGATCTTGCAAAATTCTCTTTGCTCAGAAAGGACGAAAAGAAAGGCATTCAGAGTGGTCAGAATTGCTTCTATGTTATGTTAGAAAATGCTCCAAAGAAAATTGAAGCCGAGAACTCCCCATCAAAAAATAAGAGAAGCCCTAGAAACCATGATAAAGTTGTATCAGATTCAAATGCAAAAAATCCGCCTCCAAGTTCAAGGCGGCTTCCATCAGTGACAAAACGGGCAGCTGTTGAAACTGAAGAGTGGTGCAAGGGAAATGGGTTGAAGGATGCTGCAAGTTTAGCAGAAAAGTTGCTCTTAGTATCTCGTGGATGGTTCCTAAATTATTTGGAAAATTTCTTAGACAAGGACTGTGGACTCATGAATGGCGAGGCAGATTCTAAAACAGCAAGTCTCCTTGGACAGCTTAAGAGGGTTAATCAGTGGTTGGATGATTCATTTCCGCAAGGTCATGGAGTTGATGAGAGGATAGATGGCTTAAAAAAGAAGCTGTACGGGTTTCTGTTAGATCATGTTGATTCAGCAATCCTCTCAAAGAGGTAGGTTACAGTGGAAACAATTGACTTTTTGCTAACTTAACTGATTCAACTTGCTTTCACTAACAATCTGCTATAAAAGGGTGTTCTTGTTTTGCTTGCAAAAAATTTGTCATGGATGCAAATGCAATGCATTCAAAAGCTTCTAAAAGCGTCAAAGTCCATTGATTGAATATGGAAGGGTATACTTCATTATTGAGATGTACAGATGAACTTGACAGCTTTTTTTTTTTTCATTAAGATTGGAAATGTATGTGAATTCTTCTGCTATGTTATGATTATTGGTTGATTATTAGGTCTCGCACAGGAATTTTGGGGAGGGAAAGGGGCCTAGGGGAGGAGGTGGTGGGGTTTAGTAATCATGATTTTCTCCTCTTGATAAATCTAAAGTGATAATGTCCAGAAGTGAGTTTACCGAACTCACGATGTGAATTTATGAACTATATTTGAAATCTGCAAAATCTTGTATAGTTGCTAAATGCTAGAAACAGTACTGATATGAACCTCTCATATGGATGGAGATGTAGAATTTTTGACAGGAGTAATCTGAACTTGTCATGACATTGACAGTTCACAGCTGTATTTTATTCATGTCAGTTTGGAATTGCAACAATTTGTTTATAGCACCAAAAGCTCATAAAAAAGTCATTCTCACCATCGTTATAGGTTAAAGAGTTTTAATGCTTTTGGCTGAATTCCTTCCATAATTTGCCAACCAATTAGCACGGCGCCAAATTGCTTCATTCCATCCAAAGCTAAAACATTAGTACCCTATTGCTCAGAAAACCTCTCCTTTGAACTAATATGATGTTTTGCAACAGAGTTCATGGAATTCTAACAATATATTGCCAGTTCTTTGTGACTTGTGATACGGGCACACTCCTGAGTGTCCTTGGCAGTAGTTAAATTCATAAATCTGCAATTGAAAATTTTGTTCCTAATCTGTGGTTTGTTTGTAAACAAATACTCTTATCATTTTGTATAAAGGGTAGTTGATTGGGTACCCTATTCGTATATAGACCGTTGGACCTGCATATTGTACTAATTATGTGAAGAAGAACACCTCATACAGGTTCAGTCATAACTTATATGTACTTTGATTGGCAGTCAGCCTCCATTTATGTGACGAACTGGAATGTAAATGCTCATGTAGTTTGTGTTTCATAAACATCTGCCTGCGCTCTGCTCATTTGCATTTACATGCAAAGCTTTCAAGAGATGAGTGCTAAAATTTCCGATCAAAATGAACCAGATTCTTGAAGAATTGAAGATTATCTACTCTTAAAAAGTCTTGTATCAGTGAGTCAAATAATAGCCAGAGACCAAATTCTCCTGCGGGGATTCTGCTGGCTTATCAGCAGCAGCAGCAGAAATTGCAGGGCCACTATATTTCGCCCAGGCCTTCATCCCCCTGCAGGATTTCATATGTGCATGCAGTTTCTCTGGCTTAAATGGCTTCCCGCATTGCCTGCAAAATCAAATCGATCAATACAAGGCTTGCTCATGGTCCAGGCTATCCAAATTGTGGAAATTAGACCATGTGAAACGAACTGTCCAAGGAGAATTTGTCAGTTTCAACCATTGATCTTTTGGCTGCAAATTCTGGTTCGTGGGTTCTTAAATTGAAGGATTGAACAAGTAATTAAACTACACAAAATGATTAATGTATTTTGATTAACTGACTTAAGCATGTTATATACTACTTCTAAAGTCGACAAGTTAAAAGGTCAAATTTCAGGGGCCTTACAATTGATCTTCGAGGCAATTTCCAATGGTAACTAAATGATGTCGACCTGAGTTGAATAAGCTTTAGGATGTCCATTTTAAATTATGCAGTGTCAACTCTGTATCAGGTGTTCGGCATGCATGATGCAGTAATACATGCTGATCATATAACTTCTTCTTAATACTGTCATATTTAGAAATGCAAAAGAGTAATTTATGCAGTCAAGGATAATAGTAGTTTAACTGTACAAGTCAACTATACAGTATTAGCAAACCATTTGTGAAGGATCTGCAGCTTGTCCAATTAATTTTTCTGCACCTAGTCATTTAGTTTGTATTCCTCATAATGTGTAGAATAATGCTTAATTTGGCTCTTTCTCAGTCATTAAAGAAAAAGGAAGTGCCCTTTAAGCAGGCCAAACTACTGACTAATTCCAAATTCTGCATTAGAAAATAAGTCATTTTAAGTTGATTAGACCAAGTTACAGAGAGTAAGATTAAGTAGGTTTAGTAGAACGTTCCCCTGCATTAATCACATAGTAATCTCTTCAGATTCCTACGCAAAAGTGCAGAGATAAAATGATCTAACATTCATTGACAAAAACTTGAGGAAATAAAATGCTTTAGTTACATAAACTTACGAGCAGGGCGGTCCATAAATAGGCTTGTGCGCAGCATTTGTCTTCTGGTTATTGAATTCGCTATTATTCTTCTGTGAAGCCCTCACCCCATCAAAGCTTTTCCTGTACCAAAATGTACTCAAGGATTCATGAACCAAAACCATCTAATCTTCAGCATTAATTTTATTTCAGAACTTATACCAATTGCTTATATCTTCGTAGACAACTTAATTCTTATGCTTTGCATATGTTAAGTTAATTTATCATTTCTCACCAGGCAGCAGGACAAAAAAAATAAAGAAGAAAGGATTGAAGTCAATCAGATTACCTTCCACTGCTTTGTCTTTGTTGATCCCAATTAGTCCCAAAGATCCTTTGAGACCCTCCCAACTTGTCCCCTTTCTGTAGTAGCTCCTTGGTACCGTTAGAAACATGATTCTGCTTATCCAAAGATGACAAATTTGCATTCGCGGGTGGTTTATTGCGACGACTGATTGTAAGCATGACTGAATCATTTGTCTCCACAGCTCCACAAGTGATCAAATTTCGGAACAGATGAGATGCATTTGAATAACTCCTGCTCTTAGAAAATGAAGGTTGTGCTGTTGATGAGGTTGATGCTGATGAAGATGGTGCACTTATTTTTTCTTCAGACATAACGTTGTTGGCCTTCTTGTTCCTTTTACTGGAAAGAGGTGAATAGTATGAAGAACCCTCACTTTTGTCACTTTCTTCATGCATTTCTTCTTTGGGAGTCTGGAAACTAGAATTCTTTTCTTGATCCTGATCCTGATCTTTGGTCTTCATCGAATCATCAGTCAATGTCGATGACTGTTCAGAGCCAAAAGTTGGTGATTCTTCCTCAATTTCTGGAGAAAAGATTTTTGTAGGTTGGTCCATTTTTGTTTCTTGATGATGATGATCATCATCTGGATTTTCTTCAGTGGAGGAGGGTATACGATCACTACTGTCTTCTTCCTCTTTGTGCATTGAATATCTCTTTTCGCTAGGTGAATCCTCTGTGAAAAAATTCAGCAAGGAAAGTAGTTGATCATAAAAGGTACAATATCCTTGGCATACCATAGTTGGAAAAAGTCCACCACTCAAGTAATGTCATGATTCTCTCCTAAGGTGGATTCTCTTTATGTTGATTCACCTTTCTAAGAAAAATGAATCTGAAATAGTGGTTGACCATACAGCAGTGAAAATTATTGGAAAGTACAATAAACATAATTGGATTTCCATCCTAACTTTTTTTTAATATATATAAATTATCAACTATACATGTCATTACTACATAACCACCTATATTGAATTGATAGACAAATTATGTTGACTTTAAAGATGCACAGCTCAAAGTTGTATAAATAATGGTTGTTTTTGGCGTTAAACAAAGAAAAACAACATTTTGGACGGAACTTAAATTGATTGAAAATCTGACCACATTCATATGTTATTTTTGCTAATTCAACCTAGAATAGGTCTAATTCAAGAAATTTACCTATTGTGGCTGTGGAAGAAATTTCCGATCCTTTGAGGACATATTCGTTATCTGAGATAGGGGTAATGAGATCCTCATCCAGCAGGTCTTGCCATACATATCCACTTTTGTATCTCCTGCACGCAAGAATCTTTTAAAACTTTGAATATACCAACCATATAAATATATATATATATATATATATATATATATATATATATATATATATATATATATATATATATATATATATAAATTTTGCTTTTCCTAATTTGGTTTAAGGAAAATAATCCATTTTAAGTACTAGAATATAGTAGTACAAATTGCAAAGTACTATTAAGAACAAAAAAGGAAGCAATCATTTTAAATATGTTGAAAGGCTACCACTTTTTTTTTTTTTTGCCATATAAAACTACTATATCAATCAACAATTGCAGCATTTTTCAATCCCATTTGATCTTTAACTAAACTATGGCTCCCATTTTATTGGCAGCAGTGAGAAATTATCAAATTGATGAACAAGTATACTTTCACAAACCTCTTGTATGACCAAGAAAATGATTCAGGCATGTCCTTTCCTCGCAATTCTCCCAACCATCTCTTGACATCTATTATAGCATGAGCAAAACCGAAAAGGAAAAAGGTTTTATTTGAACCCAAAACCGAAAAGGAAAACCAATGGAAGCAACTGCACAAAAAGTCACAAATAGAGGATACATACATATAGCCACAAAAACCATATACACAAATCTATGTATCGTGCTTTGTATGCCTGTTGATGTTTCTGTTTGTTGGTTGAAGAAAGAAAAAGTGTGGGGAATATTTGATGATGATGCCTTGAAGAAAATGAACTTACCTCGCAAATGTACACCATTTCTTGAGAGGTGATGAACTCGAATGAGATGAGGCTGCTCAATCCTACCTTTTCGACTAAGGAAGTAAATGACATGAATTCTTCTAACTTCTGCACCAACTTGATTACTCTCCATTAATCTTCTGTGAACGTGCCAGGAGCATAAGCAAGAAACAGAGAAAAATAAATGGGTTCTTCTTTTTAGGCGAATTTAAGGAAACTTTTATTCAAAAATAAAGTTAAAAAAAGCACTTATATGAATATGAATCAACAAATGGAACCCCAAGACATGATCTTTGTCTTTGCCGGCCTGCATGCTCCAGAAAAAGACATGAAGAATAAACATATGTAGCTAGCTAATTCATCGTGCCTAACCAAAGTCTTAATAAAATAATCCAAGGTATAACAATCTCTATATATATGTGTGTGCAGGCCTAAAGTATGGTACTATATTTTTTACTAGAAAGGCATAGAAACTGATAAAATTCTCTTAGTGATCTAAAGAAAATGATCATTGGATTTGGAGATTACCTTATTGTTTTGTTTTATCTGTCATAAACACACAGTAAGAGTGTGAGAAAAGTGTTGCTTGATGCTTAATAGTAGGACAGCATTGAACAATTCTTTAGCTACCATTATAGAGAGGACTTGGCCCCCTTTTAAGAATTTATTTCTGATTTCCCGCGATATTCTTGGCGCATATGGTTAAAGGAAGCTATGCAGCTTTTGACCATCTTTTTAATCTCCCGAAAGAAACTTTCTGTTGCATGATTTTACAATGATTTACTGCCAAAGCTTTTCTAAACTCTCATATGCATGACAGTACTGAAACTTCTGGGATGCAGTCTTTTTTCTGTTGGACTGCAGTTTTTGTTTGTACTTTTATTTTTTAAGGTGAGGCCATTGTGAAAATCAAGGTATATCCCTGCCACAAAGGGACATCATTGAGAATAAGGTTCGCAAGAATGTCCAATTGTGCTTTTCATATACATTAAGATTCTAACTAGATTTGTGATTCTTCCGGGAAAAAAAAAGGGAAAAGCACTTGGGAATTTTTTTTTGGGGAGGTAGAATGAGTCACGTACCATCAAGTGATGACTAACTGACTGTATAATGCCTGAGTTAGACCAACAATTTGGTTGTATTCAATGTGTTACAAGCCAGATATGTTTGACATGATTAATTTTCTTTAGCCATAACCAGTTCAACAACATTTTTCTTCTTCTTCTTCTTTTGATAAGAAACCTTTCTTTCAATTAGAGTTGTTTGCTTGCTTAATCCGTGAAATTAGGCTTTTATATATGATAAAATTTGAAGGTAAAATTTTGTAAGTTCCATTTATGAGACGTATCAAGATCGAGTATCTGACAAATTATCTAATAATCTTTTTTTTGTATTATTTCTCAAAGAAAAAAATCTTTTTTTGTATTAGGCTATTTGTTGTAGGTAATTTTTGATGAGTTTCAAAATTACCTAGCAACAAGAACAATAGAAAGTGAAGAGGATTCTAATTAAGATTAAAACGGAGATGGCGGGGAAATTTCACAAGAAAGTTACTCCCTATCACCATCCATGAGAAGGGTCAATGTAATTGTGAAAGCCTATAACTCTCTAGGCATAATCCTTAGTTTAATTAACATATTATTTGATGATGATATTTAAACAACGAAGTAAGTGGAGTTTAAAAATACAGTAAAACCACAAAACACATAAACAAGTCACATACGTCAATGCTGATATGAAAAAGTAGAGGTATCAATTGGGTCTTCTGAATCGGATTTTGGCAAGCCGAGGCTTGGTATTGGATCACCTAATTGACTTTTCCCACTTCCCTTAGATTCATGTGTGACAATATAAATATCTTAGCTGTTCGCTGTTCCAAATAAACATTTACACTTGCCAGCTATGTATAGTTTTATGGTTGAAAACATAATAATGATGCATTTTGTCCCTCCTTATTGTCATTAATTCGGCATCCAACTAAAGGAAAAAGAGCCAAGAACAAATGCTAAGAGGTTGGATATTGAATACTCAGTCGACTAACATTAAAACAGAAATTAAATCATGAAGACAAAATAATAGTAATGAAAAGACAAGGGGAAAAGGAAAAGAAGATTGACCTTTTCATGTTGCGTTTTTGTTCTAGATATATTGCTTCCATTGTTGATCATATATTCCTCTGCAGAAATCGGCAGCCTATCCTATGGTTAGTGGGCAGACTGCTTCTTGAATATTCTCCTATTCTTCATTGTCTGCAAATCCAAAAGGAAAGAAAGATCGTAAAAATGGATTATGGGTTCACCAAAAAGAGTTGTGCTTTCTTATATATTGTTGCCCTGGAGAACTTTCTTGCAAGACTAGAGATGTGTAGTTCAGGCTATAGACTTGAGCAAGCTAAAGCAAGATTATCATAGCCACAAAATGTAACTACTTATTTATACTCCTCTAAAGAAGCAGTATACTCATTATAGAACCTCGTAGCGATGGCCAATTCATCCCAATCCAACACTATCAGCATCTTAGTGTTGATGTTAAATTGTAATCAAAGCAAAAAGAGATGATAATTACAACTTGCTGTGTAGTATTCCAACCACCTACTGTAGCAAAAAGCAACAGAAAAGAAGGGAGAAAAGCAAACTTTGTCTAGTAACTTATCCTTAATGAAGCAAAATGACCCCTCAAACTAGGGAACGGGAAGAAAAGAAAACTCAATATTCTCTTAATTATGCCATGGTTGAATAAAAGAAAAGATACAAATACATAGCATCAGTAAGATTCTTACATGTTTTCAATCATGTTGATCGATCGGAGCCCAGAAATTCAAATTGATGCGGACAGAAGATGTTATGCAGTAGCCTTCATATCAGGAGATTGATATAAGAGCAAAGAAATACTGCAGAAGTTTGTTTTGTCCTGTACTTGATGTTGATGCTGAATTGAGAGTATATTACATCAAACAGCGAAGCGTGCGTGCCGTTTCAGCTGAGACTTGAGCATTAGAAAGTAGAAGCTAAACACTATAACAATATACAAATGGAGATGGCCAACCAATCCATCCATCTTTATCTATCATGCAAGTAATAGTCATTTAATTACTTGAGAGTTTATGGCACGAATCGGTGAAAATGCCATCAAGGCCGACTGATGTTGATGTGGGGGGGGGGGGGGGGGAGAATATTATGGTTGATGACTATTTCTTGTACCTTCAACACCATTTGGTTTATTTTAGGTTTGTAAGTTGTTCAGGTATAGTTTAATAATACAGGATAATAACAGGATAACAGATGACAGGAACAAGCAGGTTATAGGGAGGTCTGCAATTAAGGAAGATGATCAGCCATTATTAAGCAGATCTGCAAATCATTTTAGCTTATCATTTGGCTAATATTTGAGTATTTGGCTGAGGAGTTTATAGGATCTTCTTGGTGTTATGTTCATTTATGCAATTTATTAGTTCAAAATAATGCTAACAAGAATGTATATACATTCTTCAATTTGAAATTAATGAAGATTATGCTATACAATGCGTACTCTTTCTTGAAACCTTGAAATGTTTGGTGTGAATCCATTACAAAAGAAAGTTGGTTGTAGGGTTGTAATAGAGAAATTAATTAAGACTATTGCTGTAAAAGTTTGCTCAATTTAGGAGAAAGTAAGTTACTATTCAACTATGTATCGCAAACAAATACTTAGGGGCTGCTTGGTTAAAGGGTTTGGGAATCAAAGAATGGAATAAACCCCTTATTTGTTGTTTGGGATAAGTCTATTGGAATGCAATTTTTGGAATTATTTCTGAAAAATCATTCCCGAGCAAATTGGGAGGTTTTGGACAAAACCCTCAACTTATTCCCTCGGACAACATTTATGACTCCTCTGCCCTCTCTTTCTCTCCATCACCATGACTTCACCATATTCAAATCCAATTCCACTTTTCCGTTTCTTTCCCAGGAAGCTTAACTCGCCGAACCACCTCCGCCAATATCTCCGTCGCAAACCACCACCACCACTACCTCCACTGCGATGTCGTTGCCTCCTAACCTGGCCTCCGGCAGTCCGCTTTACAATTAGAACTAGCGGAACCCTTACCCGCCATCCCTCAGTGAGAATTCCTCCTCCCTAATGCCGCTGGGGATTTTCAACCAACGGGCGGGTTCTCGATTGCAAGCGCTATCGCAGACCTTGGATGTTCAAGGATTGATGGATCTTTTCGCCGATTGGATGACGTCACATAGTTGGAATAACATGAAGCAGTCGTTTGAGCTGTGGGTTATGTCATTAGATAAGAATGGGAAACCCAAATCTGCAATTACAGATTGGAAACCCAAATCCAAGACTTTGTAGGCTTTGTGATTTAACATTATTCTGATTTTATCCAACTAATAAATTAGCTTATGGAAAAATGGGAAAATGGATAATTTATGGAAGAAAGCCATCAAGAGCTGGTGTTTTATTGGAGAACGGGTTTATTTTTATTTTATTCGATAAATAAATTTATTTATGGAAAAATGGGTACTCTGTTCTTATAATAGAGGAAAGCCATAAAGAGCTGGTGTTTTATTAGAAAACGGGTTTATTTTTATTTTATCCGATAAATAAATTTGTTTATGGGAAAATGGGTACTCTGTTCTTATAAGGGAGTTTCCTGCAATTATCCCTTTGTTTTATAAGAATTGTTATATGAGGGGTAAATTTGGAATTTAATTGCATTTAATTCCAAAACAGTTATCAAACCAAGTATCAAGAATTGGAATGATGCTAATTCCAATATGTGAACCAAGCTAGATATTGGAATGAAAAGTTTAATTCCAAAACCAGAGTTTATGATTCCATTTCTATTTCCGATTCCAATATGTGAAACAAGCATTCCCTTAGTTTCTGATTGCACTATCAATAAGATCATTATTTTATTGTTTCTCGTGATGACTGAGGAACTATTTCAAAATTGAAAATGCAAATTATTACATAAATTTTCATTTATCCTTTGTTTGGTTGGACATGTATAGTTGCTTACCCTAATCAAGCCATGAATTGGTTAATCAAAAGTTGGATGTGAATATGCCTAAGACCCATACTTTAACCCTTTTATGGTGTTTACAAAATTTTCCAAACTCCTCCACTCTTATCCCTTTTTTCCAACTTATGATGGGGGAGACTTGAGAAGTGCATATTAGCTGATTGACTAGTACTAATGAAAAAGTTTTTGTCCCAATCATGTTTACTTATTTTGCGTTGCTTTATGGCATACAAAAGCTGTATATGACAATCTCTTTCCATCTCCTGGTTACAAAGTGTCCTTAATTTCATTGGTAGATGTCTTTGCTGGTTGGCTCATAATTGAATATGAGCATGGTTTTATGATCCATCCTTAACTAGATAAAGCAAGGCTCTTTTATGTACTACCATTTTTCCTGCTTTTATAACAGAAACTATGACCAGAAAGAGTAATAAAAACATATGTTTTTCTTTTCTACGCATTTATTTATTATTATTTAACAAACATCTCATTTTTCTTCATCTACCACTACCAGCTGTCGAGCTCTAGCAGGTGACCATGAATTTTTATATGCACAGCAAGTTTACCAGTGAAGTGGGCATTCACTCTATAGAGCAAAAACCAATTCAGAGGTTAGGATGCCTGGTGTACTACTGTGTCTAATAAACTTGTACCTTAATTCTGTTGGAGATCACACGGTGAAATTATTAATGAAGTTCAATCAACGGTTGTTGCAACATCAAATTTGTGAGCATCATTGAATTCCCTGTACTACAAAATTTGGTTGCATTCTTCTTCTTTTTTTTTTTCCTTCCTTTTTTTGGTGTGGCCGCGGGGGGATGGGGGGGGGGGGGTGTTGTGAATGCTGACCTCAATGGGATTTCGACACAATTAAGAAGTCCAGTTCTCTTCTGGTCATTTTCTAGTGAAATTGCGTGTGGAAGTTTTTCACTTGTTGTGTTTGCTAAATTGATGCATGTGGTACATGTTAATTATGTTATCAGTGTCTTACTAATAAAAAAGATGGAGCCCAGGGGTTGTCTGCGATCTTGTGAAGTTAAACGAAGACCAGAGGAACCAACTACCTTTACAGTAGTTGGACACCAGGGAGCTCTCATTGATCGCAGGTCAAGGGTTCGAATCCTTTGATTTGTATTCACCTCTAGAATTTTATGAAAGTTTCACTAGTGGGTGTAAATGTATCCGTTTGATTCGGCAGTGGTTCAGTTTCTTCCAGATTTTTCCTTGGGCTACCAGATTCTCCCTTGGCTCATTTGAGTCCACTCCCTCCCTTTAATATAGAGTAGGAATAGGAGTAGAATAGAAAAACTATCGTGTTGACCAAAAAAAAGAAGACCAAAGGAAAATGTTAAGGAAACTTCGATCATTTTTGTGTATTATTCTACAATACTGCTTAAGATTGGAAATCGTACGTTCACACATACACACATGTACATATTGTAAGTAGGAAGTTTTGAATTCATAATCTCCTATTTATAATTCTTCCCAACTCTTGCCCTTTTCTTCATAAGACTTGATTAGTCTTTCTGACATTTAGATTATAGCAATCATTTCTTATTTTTATCCATATTTTATCCAATATACTATGAGAAAAACATTAGTCTGTTCATTCTTGCTACTGATGCAAATTTGGAAATTCTTGTCTTAACAATTACTAAATCCACAAACATAATTTGTGGTGGAAACTCGCTAATTTATAGTCAGAAATTGAAATTTACCTAGACACAATATTATATTTTAAGCTACATTAATATTGTTTTACAATTTTAGTTTTTGGAATGTTATATTTATATTGCTTCTATAATCCAGATCATTTAATTTAACATGAATCTAAATTTTATTCTTTACAAAATATTTCCAATGAACTAAAAATCGAATTAAAAGGGAATTCGGAGTCGTTTTTACTCACCATGGTTTCACAAAGGAGGACCTTGGATTACTTAACAGCTGCGAAAACGAAGACCAAGCATGGAAACAAGACTTTGGTAATTTATGTATCATCCTCCAATTTAATTTTTCTTAAACTCTGCATAAAATGATGACAAATAAAATAGAAGTAATGAAATATATCCGGTCATTTAATGAATTTTTCACACGAGACAAATAGAAAATTCATTTCAAAGAATTGTTTGGACATTTAGGCCCAAAGTTGAACTGATGGACCCTTGTTTGGGAGTCCTAAAACTTAGGTAGTTGATCATTTACTTTAGATTTCCTGTGTATTGAACTGAATAGAAATTTGTAATGTAGGAAGCTTGTAGCCCAACTTGATTTTCCAGGCCTCCTAGTGGACCATCTGACCATGGATCAATTCGTATTTTATCATCTCATCCTTGTTACAGGTTCGTTCAGCCCGACAAATTTCAGTGCATAACCAAGCAGCTTTAGTCAGGATTCGGGCCGACACAATTTGAGTTTCGTACAATTTTGCACAAGTTGATCTCTGGTGTAAATCAATTGAATTTCAGTATAAATTAGGTCTGATTTGCTGTAAATTAGGTGCAGTTCAGTGTATGTTGATTTTTTATTATTTGGTATAAATCAAGTATAGTTTGGTATAAGTTAATTATTATCACGTAGTATAAGCTGAGAACAAATTAGTGTAAGTTGAAAGTAAATTGTTAATTTACACTAACTTGAGCGAAATGGAACTTGTGAGGCCCCGTTTCCTTTCAGTTAAGAAGGGAAAGAAAAAAAAAAAGCAATGGAAGTATAAGACTAGGGATTAAAAGTTTACATGCAGAAAATTTGTAGAAGCACAAATGGCAAAAGGAAAAAGCCAACGAGCACATGGTAAGGGAATGCTTAGTGTAATCCCATCTTAGTCAACATTCAACTCTATGAGCTCTTTATTAACATAGTAACTTTTTCTTAAAAATTTTTTTAGCAGGGA